GTATTTTTTTTTTTTTTTTTTTTTTGGTGGTACTGGGGTTTGAACTTAGGGCCTCACACTTGCTAGGCAAGCACTCTGCCATTTGAGCCACTCCACCAGCTCTTTTTTGTGATGGGCATTTTTTGAGATGAACTATTTGCCTGGGCTGGCTTCGACATGTGATCCTCTTGATCTCTGCCTCCTGAGTAGCTAGGATTACAGGTGTGAGCCACCAGTACCCAGTGACACTCTACTTCTTGAGCCACACGCACAGTCTGTTTTGCTCTGGCTATTTTGGAGATTGAGTCTCATGAACTCTGCCTGGGCTGGCCTCCAACCATAATCCTCCTGCTCTCAGCCTCAAGTGGCTAGGATTAGAGGCATGAGCCATCAGTACCAGGCTAGGTTTGGTCTTTTAATGGTGTCCTGGAGGTCTTATATATTTTGTTTATAATTTCTTACATTTTTCTTTTCTTATCATTATCTAATTCATCTGCTTTGTCTTTAAGCCCTGATATTCTGTCTTCTTCTCTATTGATGAAGCTTTCAACAAGTTTTATTTGACTTTTTGAACTTTGTATTTCCAAAATTTCAATTTGATTTATTTTCATGTTTTCTGTATCTTTATTGAATCCCTCTTACATATCCTGCATTGTCTTCCTCATTTCATTCAGCTGTATATTTATATTTTGTTTTAATTCACTCATTTGTTTATATCCTCTTTAATTTCATTAATCATTCTTATATTTATTCTTTTGAATTCTTGGAGATTTCATCTACTTCACTATCTTTAGAGTACATTATTGTGGCATTGTCGACTTTTGGAAGAATCATATTGCCTCATCTTTTCATGTCTTGTGTTCCTGCATTGGGAGGGCAAGTCTTTGGTTGGAAGACTTAATCACCTGTATTCTGTCAATTGAAATAATCTCAACATTCAGGCAATCCTGCGTAGTGGCAGGTTTGAGGTGCAGTTTCTTACCACTGGACTGGATGTGCAGCTCACCCCTGAGGGCTAGAGGTGTGGCTCAGGTGATAGAGAGCTTGTCTAATAAGCATGAGACCCTGAGTTCAAACCCAGTTCCACCAAATAATAATAACAGCAATAATAACAATAATGATGATGAAAATTGAAAGGAAACATTCCCTACATGCTCAGGACACCAGGCCTCATTCCCAGCACTCTAGAGAGCCAGGTTGGAGCTGTGAGTTGCATTCTCCTCTCTCTTTAGCTTTTCTGTTTCTCTTTGCTTTTTCAGCTTCTCTGTTACCTCTTTCATGATTCCCAATGTTCTTCTCTCTTTCTCTCTTTAGAATATAGTCTCTCCTTTGTTACTCTGACTTCTCTTATTCATGGAGTCACATGAATAAAGCTTCTACTCTGCCATCTTGCACCCTCCTTGAAAGTTTTCTTGAATTGAGGTTAAGAAGACATAGACTTCAGAGTCATGATAATAAACCATTCTTCTTTACTGACTTTGTATGTGATCTTGGGCAAGTTTCAGTGTTGCTGAACCTCATTTTCTTTCCTCAGTTTTAAATTCAGGTGAGCATAAATACCTTTATGAGTAGTTATTCAGTAAAACAAAATATAAATATATAGAGTATCCAGATGGCACATTGTAGGCAATCAGCAAATGTTATTTCCTTTTTCTGTGCTTACTCCTAGACTACTTTTGGTCTTTTATTTACAGAGTATATGTAGGAGCTGCAAGCCCAAAATACAAGTAATTACTTTGAAGTTTAAATGCAGGTGTGTTGTAAGAGTGGTAAGGGACAATCCTGCCTTGTTTCAGATCTGAGGATCAAGGCATCTAGTCTCTCACCATTAGGTATAATGTTAAGTATAAGTTCAGTTTCAGTAATCTACCTTCAAATTTACAGATTCTGTAAACCTTCTGTTATCTATACTCTTCTGCTAAGTATATCCAGTGTTTGGGTTTTTGTTGTTGCTGTTGTTTGTTTGTTTTGTTTTCATTGGAGGTTCTGGGGTTTGAACTGAGGAACTTGCACTTGCCAGGCAGGTGCTCCACTACTTGAGCTGCACCTCTCAGCCGTTTTTGCATTAGGCATTTTCCAAATAGGGTTTCACATTTATTCCCTGGCTGGCCTGAACCATGATCCTATTTACACTTCTCATGTAGCTAGGATGACAGGTACATACCACAACACACAGCTTTGTATTGGTTGAGGTGGGGGTGTCATGAACTTTTTGGTTGGGCTGCTTTGAACCGCAATATACATATATATATTCTACTTCTTTGTTAAGATTTTCTGTTTTATATCTTTCAAGACTATTCATCATTGTTTCTTTTAGCATTTTTATAATAACTGCTTTAAAGTCTTTGTTGGATAATTCTTACCTCTGTATAACCTTGGTGTTAGCATATATGGTTTGTTTCCCCCTCCCCAGGTAAGTTAAATATTTCATGATTTATCATATGCCAAGTAATGTTGGATATTGTGTTGAAAGACTCTGGGCCTTATTTAAATCCTATGGAGTTTTTTGTTTGTTTGTTTTGTTTTATCGTGCTGGGGAGCAAACTCAGAGCCTTGTTCATGTTAAGGAAGCTCTTTAATGGTGAGTTATACTCCCATCCCCAAGAATCTTTGTATTTTTATTTTAGCAGACATTCAGCCTAGTTAGGTCTCAAGTGGGTAAGTTTCAACTCAGTGTCTGTGGGCTGTGATTCTGATACAGCTTGAGTATCCCTTATCCAAAATGCTTGAGATTAGAAGAGTTTTTCAGATTATAGATTTTTTTTAATTTGGGAATATTTGCATATTCATAATGAAATATCCTGGGAATAGGACTCAAGTCTAAAGATAAAATTCATTTATGTTGCCCAACTTACGTCCATGTCCTAAAGGCAGTTTTATACAATATTTTTGGCTACCCGTATTTTGAAGCACATAAGTCCAGGTATAAACTTTACCATTTCAGATGTCATATCTGCACTCAAAAAGTTCAGAATTTAGAAGATTTCAGATTTTTGGATTAGAGCTGTTCAACCTGTATCTGTCCAGTTTTCAAAGCCTTTATAAATCTGTCCTGTGTGTATACCACCCGTTGGTCAGCTTGGGAACTTGGAGATGGTCTGCCCGTTAGTTGAGATCTGAAAGTCTTTGATATGCCAGTTAGAATCAGATCCTACTGTATAGTTGCAGAGTAAGTCTAGAAAGTCATTAATAAATTAATGAGGTCAGTTCTCTTTGTGTTTTCCTCAATATTTTCTTATTCCTTGTCTCTCTCCTTTCTGGTCCTCTGGTTGTCCGATTATTTTGCTCTATTCCATATTTTCACAATTTCACTGAATTTAAGATCAAATGGAGGGAGATTTAGAGAGAGAAGGAAAAAAGTAACAGAGGAAGACTCCGTCTTCCTGGAATCACAGTTTTACTAAACAGAGAAAGATTCCCCTCCATTAGCGGTTCTTTTAGGTCTTCCTTTTGCTACTTACATTGCTGCTGCTACCACCACCACCATCACCACTAGACTTCCTTTACTCTGTCTGAGTAGAGGAGTTCCCATTCCTGGTTCTCAAGACAGAGCTCTATTGCTTTTCCCATTTCTTCTCAGCCTTTTGACTATGATCAAGTGTAGAGTCCTTTTCTCAGAAGTCTCTTTGTACTCCAGCACTCACTTTTGAATATCTGGTTGTGTTAAGTGTAGACTAAAGGTGCCAAAGAAGTAGGGAGAGAAGAAAGGTAAACTTGGAAGTTCAGAAGATTCTGGTATTCTTCTCTGATTCATTTGCTGCTGTTTACTTTTCAGAAACTTCAAATATTGCTCCATGCATTCTATCTAGATTTTATGGTTTCATTCAGTGCGAGTAACAGGGTGTAGGGACTGTGCCTACTTCATCTTACTTGGACCCAAACCCTGAATCTCCTTTTAAAAGAGAACTTTGTAATAGTGTCACCAACCCTTCTGCTTTTCTAATCCAGGACCAGTACTAAACCAAGATATAATTTGAATCTTATTACTACCTTGCAAAAAAAATCTTTATTAGCTATTGTGTCTAGTGTTAAATGCAGACTGATGTTAGCATTCAAAGCCCCAAACCTCATATATTTCACATCCCAGCCAACAGGAATATTTGCTGATATATAGTTGCCCTGTTATGCATAACTATATGTCTTTCTCTCAGCTTGTAATAGTTTCTCAGCCTACAATTTCTCCCTCTTTAAATTCTACACATCTCTTAAACTTTGGTGCACCACCTTCTTAAAAATTATTAGTTATCTGCTCTGCTTTTATGTGCTTCCCATAACAGGAGTGTATGATGTCTTTAACCTTTGAAAAAGTGTCATTTTGCTTTTGCTTTTTCATGTAAGGTACATATACTTTTTTTTACACTTATTCAATGAATATTTATTGATTGAATAAAGTGGAGGATGAGAATTTTAGTTAAAAAGGTACAAAACTAAGAAGAGGTTTTAATTAATATTAAGATGATATATAATGTCTATTACTTCAAGTATATTTTGAAGCTTTCTGATTTTTTTTTCAGTTTTTTTTCTTTATTCATTTATTCATATGTACATACATTGTTGGGGCCATTTCTCTCCCCTGCCCCCACCCCTGGTATGTATACTTTTACTTAGGGTTTTTTTTAAGTGCAGAGATACTAACTGTGTCTCACATAGGCTATTATGCTTCATATCCAGTAGATTCAGAGCACATTTAGTTACTACCATGTACTTTTTCACTCACTCCCCTGTAATAACTCTTTGAAATAATTATTCTAAATCTCATTCATATGAAGACATTGAGGGTAAGTAAAATATAAAATTATATTAACTTTTCTACAGTGGCTGTGAATTTCTTGAGTGCAGGAATTTCAGTTTTCTACCACTTAATACTTACCATCTAGTAACTATTCAATAAACAACAGTGGGGCTGGTAGAGTGTGGCTCAAGTGGTAGGGCACTTGCCCAGCAAGTGTGAGGCACTGAGTTCAAACCCCAGTCCCATCAAAAAAAAAAAAATTAACAAATAAACAGCAATGATGCTAACTTTTTCCCTTCTTTTTACAGTACCTCGGCCATGTAGAAGTTGATGAGTCGAGAGGCATGCACATCTGTGAAGATGCTGTAAAAAGATTAAAAGCTGTATGTATTCTGTGGTTGCCAGTGTTGATCTATATGCTAACAATATTTTCTTACATGACTGTGCTTAGCAAATTTTAGTGATCCAGTATCCAGTAGATAACAGTGTATCTCCTGATGCAAAAGGTGTGGGCTAACTGAAAAAGAACATCTCATTTGTCCATCCAGAGGTACATGTTATGAATGAAGTCCAGCCTCTTCAGTTTAGGCCATACATTATCCAAAATATACTTTTGACTTATTATAACCCATACAAAATAAGTGGTATGAAGTTTGACAGAAGAATAATATTCTAAAACCAGGATAAGATTGTTACAATTAACATCTTAACCTAACTCTGATAACTGGGTTAAACATTATTGATTTTTAAATCTACTGTTAGAAACACTTTTTCAAAAAATAGAGATAACCTGCATTGATTCCTGATAGGGTTTACTTCTGGGGGAACTTCTCATTATTACCTTGATTCCTACACCCCAGTTTTCTTCTCTAACATAAACAATATTTCCATTACCTTTCACATAAACTTCAGCACACTTAAAATAGAGAGCCCTTTTCAGGATAATGTTTCCTTTGCCTATTATGTCATAAAACACATCGCAGTACATTCCTGTTTATTTAGTAAGAGTAGAGTACGGGTTCTCAATTAATAAAGATTCAGATTAAAGTGTTAATTTTATACTTTCAATTGGTCTGAGGAATGTTCCATAGACTCTTAAAGCCCACTTTACTACCTTCCTTCTCTCCAATACGTGGCTTTTCCCCACTTTGCTATGAAAGCTTTATGCATTACTTCTGCATGCCCTTACCCTAAACAGCATTAAGTATGTGTTGCTTTGGGTTTTCTGGTATGGTAGGCTGCCACATAGATTGACTACTAATGAATGCTTTTTTTTTTCTCAGTTTGCTTAATAACCAAAACTTTTCTGCCTATTGGTATAGCTTATATTACATTGCCTCTTATCTATAATTCCTCAATATAAAATATATAAAATTTAAAAACATCTCAAAGGTAGATTCTATTTTAGAGAAAATGCCTAAATCTGTTGCAGAAAGGAGAGGAGAAAAAAAATAACTGATGTAGACAAAGAACTAAACAACAAACACCCAATATAGACACAAGTACACATACATTCTTATATACCCATACACATCTTTACCTCAAATTTTAATTCTTAAATGATTGGCACCCTTCCTAGTTTTTCTGTTCTCTTCAGTTCAGCAACATTGAGAGGATTTATATCCATGTACATGAAATTATAGTTTCATATATTTGCTGTGTTATCTAAACGTGTCTCAATTAGATACAAACTCACATAATTTAATTTTCCATTTTCACCAAAACTAATTAAAAGAAAAATAAAACTTGAGTTTCTTCATTTGCAAAATAATTCTTAGTTCCTATAGAAGAATAAACAAGATGAGTTTAAGAACATTTTTAAAAAATTCAATAACTTGCCCTACCTTAAAGAATATTGCATAACACTATATTACTAATGACTGGAAACAAGCAAATCAGTAAGCATATTTTAGACTGTAAATAAACTATAAGGTTATTAAAATCTTACAACTGATAAAACTTAGGGTTAAAAGGCCACGATGGAATGAGCCTTTTAAAAATCTTTTAATTCAGATTATGGCTTCGTATTCATTCTCTCAGGAAAAAACTAAAGATGGCTTAATTTTGTCCAGAACTTATTGGGAAATTACATCTAGTTGTTTAACTAGTCAGTCCTCTTAACTATTTTTTATTCATTGTTATTTTTTATTTTTGGCTGTGCTGGGGATCAAATCCAGAGGCCTCATCACATGCCAAGCAAGCGCTGTACCACTGAGCTGTGTCCCAGCTCATCTGTCTAGATTTTGTTCTTCAGTTTTTTTAGTTAAAAACATCTCTTTATGTAGAAGCAGAGTGGCACAGCAGAAGCGTGCTGGGCCCATAACCCAGAGGTTGATGGATCGAAAAACATCTCTTTATTATATAGGCAATATATATTTATTACACAAAGTACAAATGAACTTGAAAATACATATATAAAACAGGATCTCCTGCAATTCCAGAAATAACCATTTTTTTGTTGTTGTTTTTTAGTGGAACTGGGATTTCAACTCAGGGCTTTGTGCTTGCAAAGCAGGCACTCTACTGCTTTAGCCACACCTCCAGTCCAATTTACTCTGGAGATGGGGTCGAAGACTAGTTGCCCGGGCTTGCCTCGAACCAAGATCCTCCGTACTTCAACCTCCCAGTCAGCTAGAATTACAGGCATGAGCCACCAGCACTCAGCAGAAATAGCCAGTATTTAACCATCCAGTTTTAAACTAATTTTTAAAAGACCGGATTTTTTTCTTGTTTTTTTTTTTTTTAACCTAGTAGGTTATTAATAATAAGCATGTTTATTTGAGACATGGGACTATTTAGATAAAATTTAATGAGTTTTTGTATTCACCAGAAATAGGAACTAAATTACCATTTTAAAACTTATACCTATGTCTGGAACAGTGTCTGGCACATAATAGCTATTAAAAAATATATTTCTGGAATAAATATACATAAAACAGTCCTGTACTCAATAGTGGTCAAATTGAATTTTATAATAATCATTATAATCATACCTTATATTTAATATTTTAAGTTTAAAGAACCATTTTGTGTATCTTTAAAGATCCTTATTTCTGTATGGTCTTTTTTGACTACAAGGAAGTTTTATATATGTTGATGATTGCTTTTCTGGACATAAGCTTTTGAACTTGGAGGAAAAATTGAACACTTGAACTTTTCATCAAGAAGTTATTTGAAAATTGTCAAAGTCTGTTCAGGAGACTTGAAACAGTTATATATAATTGTTTCAAATTTTCTGAAAAAAAAAAGAGAGAGAGAGAGAGAGTTTTGCACTGGCAAGCATGTATTAAAAAATCGATTGAATTTTTGGGTAATTGGGGTAAACTTCCTGTATATTACATTTAATGAAACTTCACCCTTCTATAAATACCCTTTCTAGTGCTTTACTAAGAATCTTGCAAAAATTTGGAAGTCTTCAGGATGTTGTTCTTCTCAAATCATATGAATTCACATATATTCATTTTTGTCTTCCTTTCATGTTTTTACTATGCACAAATATCTAAGTGTCTTTTTTTTTTTAACTTGACCAAGCATTCTTCTAACAAACATCCACTCAGGTTCTATAACCTGATGTGCCAGATAATTATATTGTGACAAATATTATGTATCTAGAGGTTTTTTTTTCTAAAGATCCTAAAGCTCTCTGTAACAGTTTCAAATAAGTAGAAATAATTGTAGTGATAAACAAGCCTACAGATGATTAAAGATGAAATAAAATATCTTTAGAATCAGTTTAAATGTCAAAGTTTTAAAATACAAGGAATTATATAGCTCAGATGTACTAGTTAAATAAACATACATTTTTAACCTATCATGTGAATGGTCTTTAAACTAAAAATTTTATGTTTTTAGTGTTTTTTCAATTTGTGGAGAATTAAGAAAGATCATTGTAAAAATAGTTGTATGTATGTAGATTTTTGCTCGCTCCCCCCCCCCCAAAATACTCCTTTATAATTCAGAATTACTGTAACTTCATTTGGAAGTTTTTCAAATGGAAAAATACACCATCACCTAACAAGATAGTTTTAAAAATATGCTCTTCAAACCATAAATAGGTGTTTTTAAATTTTTATACTTTCTGTAGATAAAGTTAGTTGCAACTATTTTCAACTCATTTACTTTTTGAAATGATTTTGCTAATTTACAAAAAGACTTAGATCTATAAGACAAATGACAGAAATGGCTACTGCCTATTTTTGTTGCCTATATGTTATAGGGTGAGCAATATTGTCATTTATCAGTAAATTTTATAAATATTATATTAGGCCTCTGGTCATTTTGCTTCAGTCTTATCCAAAATGCCCTTCATTTTTAAAGGCCATTTCTTCCCATTGTCTCTTAAATGTCTCTACGTCTCTGTCTTGGTTTTAGACTAGTTTCATTATACTACCAGTTCCTACAATGTTGTTTTTTATTCATTATTTGATATATTTGTTTTAATATATGTTCTTGTTTTAGCAGGTAAAAGAATCATAACCTAATTGTTTTTAAAAAGAACATTAATATTATTCTCTAATAACTGCCCTTATTTGCATTTTGCACGTTGACTTTTTTCATTAACAACTGGAGCCTTTTATAAGAGGAGGGAAAACTCCATGTTTAACAAGAGCTTTTCTAAGGGCTAAATTAAATATTAACAAATCTTCTTCCATCACCTCTGCATCCCCCATGTATGGTGAATCTTTTAACCTTGGCTGCGTTGTTGAAAGCTAATTGTTACTCATAGTCTAACAAAACCAGAATCACCAAAGTTGGCAGCAGAAATAATCTTACTTTGATAACTACCCTAATCACATTATTATTTGTTATATTTTGTGGAAATAGTTGATGCTTTTTGTGACTTTCAAAACTCAGGGGAAAACAAACTTTCCAGTGTTTGAGAACATTGACTGAGATTATAAATTGTCTAAATGAATCAAATTTCAGTACAGTTGTCTTTTCTTAGACATTAGTTCAACAGTAAAAATTGATGCTCATAAAAAGCTTAAAAGTATAGTTCAGCCCAAACCAGAAAACGTAAAGTTAAGGTAGGTTGGGTGAGTTAGAACCCATCTGCTTTGCATAAGTTCTTCAGAGTTTAGGTAGTGACTAGTTTTCATAAAAACTTTAAAAAATGGTGCTTAAAAAATTTGTGGTGGGATAAAATAACAGTAAAAAAATTGATGGTTGAACCATAGGTCACTATGCCTCTCTTATCCAGATAGTTTCACATTTTTTACTTATAAATATCAATGCAAGTTTCTTTATTAAAAAAAAAAAAAACAGTGTTGTATGAAAGGAGAGAAGGTTAGCACTCCCCTTGACAAGGATGGAAGCGGCCCCTGGGCCTGAGAACACTCATACGGTTAAGGCATTGCCACCTACTTCGTGGCATCTAACCACTGTTTTTGTTAAGAGGGTTCCTGAGCAATTCACAAGCAGAAGGAACAGAATTCTTTTTGCCTTAACCATGACACCAAACATAATAAAGTCAGAAATGTCAAAAAAAAAAAAAAACAGCAGTTAAAAAGAAAACAAAACCTTATTCTTTAAATTTTCTTATGGTTCACAGGCATGGTTTGGTTCTCAAATATGTTTTCTAAGCTCCAGTGTAAACATTAGCCTTGTGTTCTTTATAGATGATTTATTCTGTATCTGTTATTTTTCCATATGTGTTGTGGAATTGATCAGCATACACATACATACAAATTGATACTAATGCATAACTAAGTGGAAAGTCAATGATTAAGCTCTGCATAAATAGAATGGAGGCTTCTCTATGTGAGGTTTTGAACTCAGTAAGAAAAGGTATGGCAAGGAGAGTTGATCCATACTCATAATTTAATGTGTTGCAATTTTTGTTTTATTTTATCTTCAGCAGTGCTAGGGATCAAATCCAGAACTTTGTACATGCTGCAGTATCACTGTACCACTGAGCTACACCCCCAACCCTGTTTATGATTATGTGGTTGTTTTTTAATTGACAGCTGCTACATAGTTGACAGTATAGTTGACCACTGGTTTTATTTTTTTGAACTGAGATCATCAGGAAGAATATTTTATTTATTCTTAAGAGATAGGTCTCACTATGTTGCCGAGGCTGGTCCTGAATTCCAGAGCTCAAGTGATCCTCCTGCCTCAGCCTCCCAAGTAGCTGGGACTAGAGGTACATATCTCCACACCCAGCTACCCTGATTTTAAATTGAAAAACGTACACGGAACCAATCTTCTACTTACTATTCACTATTATGAATTTAAAATGCAAAATCATACCAAACCAGTATATCCTAATCTTTTTCTCTGCTGCCAAATTTGGATAATCTGTTTGAAAAGAAATAGAGATTACTAAATTAAGTAATTGCTCTGCATGAATACAGGTTCTGATTTCTTCTCTTTTGATAGATTCTCAGGTCATACAGTGTGTTTCCCTGCATTTTCATGCACCTTTCCTTTTTCCCTGTCACCCTGGTATGGATAACTCTTTAAAACTCTCACTCCTTCCCTTCTTGCACTTTGCCCTCTCCCCTACTTCTGAATGTGCTTATTGATGTGAAACCCTAGGACATTTAGCCCATACAATAATAGCACTCGACTTGTCCCCCTGTTCCTCCAGGAAAGGAAGTTCTTCAAAGGCTTCTTTGGAAAAGTAAGTTTGATGCCACAATTGTGCTTGCTTTATAAGGAGTTACACCCCTAGTATAGCACTGACATATCTAAAAAAGTATAGCTTTGATTTCTTTATGAAATGAATTAATTTGACTATATATGAAATCATTGGATTAGATAGTTGCTACTTATGGTGTTACCTGTTTGTCTTTTGATACTATGTCTGAGGCTTTCTAGCTAAATCCAATAAATGAATCAAGTAATTTATGAAAATGTTCTTAAAGATTATCTCTTCAGCTCTCGGTATTAAAATAAATTTTGTTTGATCATGCAATACTGTGTTAAAATTAGCATATAAGCTGTATTTTTAAGAGTACTGAGAGAAAAATAAAAAGAAATAGTAAATTCAAGTGAAAATTTAAGTTACCATAAATTTTGCATTCAATGCTATTACTTTTTTCAATCTAAGTTAAGTTTCAGGGGAATAAGTGAAATACATAAACTTATCTTTGAGGATCCTGCCATGGTTTTTAACCTGGGTTGCTAATCTAATAAAATATGTCTTAATTATTAATCTACCAAATATCTGTCATGTGGAATGTTTTATGCAGAGGCTTTTCTAGCAATGATTGTGTAATGTTTAGAACACATTAAAATTAAGAATACAAGGACAGAGATGTAGCTCAGTACTAGAGTGCCTGCCTAGCATGCATGAGGCACTGGGTTTGATCCCCAGGAACAACACACATACACACAAAATAGGGTGCCAGTACCCAAATATATAAATATATTTCTAACATTTATGTGTCCATGTTTATCATTGTTTAGTTTTGAATAAGTGCTATGCAGTAACCAGAGTGAGATGTATGAGAGAAAAATACTGCCGTTAGATAATTGAGTATAAGTTATTAAAAGTTTGTGAGTACAAAAATCCTATCCCAATTGTTTTCTGCTGGGTAGTTTTGTTATTTTGGAAGTTCTAAATAATAAATAATTTCAGTTTCCTTTCAATTAAATGTTTTAGCTATAACTCATTTGTATATTTTCTTATTCTAGTTTAGGTCACTTTTTTACTAATATAAACAAATGTGAAATATCTTAGATCTACTGGTTTAATTCAATTGGTGTCATTAATCTGAAATAAAAAGTCAAATGACCTACCCACACATGTCACAATAAATTTTTTTATTGTTGTTTTCTTTGGGTTTGGGGATTTATTTATTTATTTATTTATTTATTTATTTATTTATTGGTGGGATTGGAGTTTGAACTCAGGGCTTTGTGCTTGCAGAGCAGGTACTCTCAAAGCATGTGCTCTACCACTTGAGCTACACCTCCAGTCCATTTTTGCTCTGGTTATTTTGGAGATGGAGTCTCAAGAACTATTTGCCAGGGCTGACCTTGAACCATAATCCTCTTGATCTCAGCTTCCCAAGTAGCTAGAATTATAGTCACCATTGCCCAGCACATTAAACTTTTTAGGTAGATATTTTGTTTGTAAGTCAAATTAACAGCTCCTTAAAATATAGGATACAGGACTCCAGGCATATCTCTGTGGTAGAGCATGTGCCTAGCATCCTGGGTTTGATCCCTAGCACTGCAAAAAATAATCTTTAAATATATATTTTGTGTGTAGGATTCATATCTGTAAGGAATTCTGCAGACATTTATAACATAAATTGGCGTTATATTAAAAAAATATATAATTGCTAAGGAAACTTTTTCTGAAGTATCCATTTTTCCCAAATTGAATTTCCATACCACCATTATACAGTTTTAATTATCTTCCAAGTCACCCATTTTAATTTGTCTACTTTAGTTAAAATACCTTGGTTAGGTTGTAGAAAGTACTAGTTTATGGAAAAACAATGTTAAAAGTATGTATTTTAAAAGATTGTAACATAGTTGTAAGGAACAAAGATAGCTCTCACTTCACGATCATACCATTGTGGCAGTATTCACTGATATATATATAATAGGGTCATTGGTGTACGTACAGTATGGCTAAACTGGGTCACACTGCTTGTTAGTTGTTTTCACTACATTTTTGCTACATGATGAATTTATATGGCTTATGAAAGAAAATTATGAATCATCTCAACCTTTAAGTAACACTAAAAGTATTATTCTCCCTGTTATACAATAGGAAACTGAGGTTTACAGAGGTCAAGGGACAGCTTGAATTTACAGATCCAATAAGTAGTAGAAGCTCGATTCTAACCCAGATAATCTGCCTTCAGAGCCCACACCCTTAATCACTATGCTACATAGTCACCCCATTTTCACATTATTTACAAACAAAAGTTTTAAAGTTTAAAAGGTTTAAACTTAAAAGATGCCAGTAAGTAAAGAGCTCCTAGAAACTCACTTTTACTTTCCAACTTTCATTTTAAAATGAAGTAATTTCTATTTGGATTTTATTTCTCATCAGTTTCCTTTTTTATTAGTTAAAGCTTTAAAGAACCATCTTTTTCATTGATTCAAACTAACTTTAAAATTTCTTTAGCTTGAAGATATTTACATCCTGCCCTAGTGACTTTGACTCCCACAGGGTTTCCTTAAAAAATGTTAAGCCATCCATGAACAAATGTGACTATAGGAAATCTTTTCTTGTGTTATTGGGGGGAAAATTCTTTTTATTTCAGGGTAATTTTATTCCATAAGATTTTTAAAATTATAAGACAAGTTTCATTCCAAGAGTTTGGAAAAAGAAGGGAGAGAAAACATTACCCATTATCTCACCAGGAATGTGCTTTAAAATTTACAAACCTTAACTTGGAGCTGTTTCAGTCTTTCTAGTTGCCATCATTTAGTTCTCCCCACACTAGTCTGCCAAAAATAGGCTGGTAAAAAGTCTTGATTTTTTGAGTTTACTAGGTCAACTATGTTTTGATGAAAGCTGAAAGTGAAGAATCTCATAAAGTAGTATTTAATAGGGAGTTTTTTATTGAATACAGTTCCTCACAAATTGTGATGCCTTTGTTAGTCTTGAATCTGTATAGTTTAGTGGTTCAGTGTACACAGAACAACAGTAATCAAGAAGCATTGCCACCAAATACTTTTGCATAGAAATAGGAAAGTGGGCCGGGCAATGGTGACCATGCCTGTAATTCTAGCTACTTGGGAGGCTAAGATCAGGAAGAACAAGGTTCAAGACCAACCCAGGCAAATAGTTCACGAGATCCCATCTCCAAAATAACTGGAGCAAAATACACTGGAGGTAGAGTGCCTGTTTTGCAAGCACAAAGCCCAGAGTTCAAACCCCAGTCCCACCAAAAAAAAAAAAAAAGAAAGAAAGAAATAGGTAAGTAGGAGAACCTGATTTCTAAATTTAAGGATCATGGCAATAAAGACTGTTTCCACTTTTCCCTCATTTACCTCCTGAATCTGGCCTCTTCTCTATTCCTGCATTACCTGCAGATGGGAGCAGTGCCTCCAGAAACTTTAGCAGTAGGGAATAGATACATCTGGTCTGTTACAGAATAGTATTATACAAGTTGGGCCTTGTCACACACCTGTAATCCCAGCATTTAGGAAGCTGAAGCAGGAGGATTTTTTTTTTTTTTTCAAAATAGGGTCTCATGAACTATTTGCCCAAGGCTGCCTTCAAACTGCAATCCTGATCTCTGTCTCCTGAGTAGCTAGGATTATAGGGGCACCCAGCTGAGTTAGGAGTATCTTGAGTTCAAGAACATCTTGAGTTGGCTGGGTGCCATTGGCTTACACCTATATTCTAGCTACTCAGGAGCCAGAGGTCAGAAGGATCACAGCTCAAAGCCAGCCCAGGCAAAATAGTTCTGCAGACCCTATCTCAAAAATACCCAACCCAAAAAATCATCTGGAGGAGTGACTCAAGTGGTAGAGCACCTACCTAGCAAGCATGAGGCCATAAATTCAAACCTTAGTACTGCCAAAAAATAAAGAAATAAAGACTAGCCTGGGCTATATAGTGAGACCCTGTCTCGAAAAACAAAACAGAATTGTATTATAAACATCTTACAACAAAAGGAAAAAACTGACATAATTTTTTCAAACTAGCTGCATGAAATCGCTTATTGCTTTAGAAATCCAATAATGCACTCAAGTTTTTAGAGATTATTATATGCAGCTTCAATAGTGTAGTTGGCCATACTAAGCAAATACTTTATTACCAATGGCATTTAACATTTGAAAAGGATTTTATAACTGTAATGTATTTGAGAAACTCCACAAGCTAAGTAATCTATATTTCCATTTTATGAGGAAACTGACTCAACATAGTGAGTACAATGTTCTTAGGTCTCTTTTTTAAAACCCTTTTACTTGTATTACATCTTGCTTTATGGTTTATGATGTGCTTTGACCTACTTTCTAATTTGCTATTTACAACAGCTCAGTGAATTAGATGGTAGTTCAGGACAATACATTTTACAAATGAATGAACAGAAGCTCAAAAGTGTTACCCGGCTAATAATAAATGGCAACACCTACTCTAAAACCAAGATTTTTGAAACTTAGTGTCTTTTTACATACCCCATGTTGATATGCAAAAATAATTGGCCTCTGTTTTCTTCAGTTATACCTTAAGGTTATTATGATGAACAGAGAAATATCTAATGCAGAGGACACTAAACAGCTCAGGGGCCTGAATATGTTCACAAACACAGATTGTATGACCTGCACACAGTTTATATGTTTGAATTAATTGCAAAGGCTTTTTAACATTGAGGTCTTTAATGTACAAACTAAGATATCTATTAAGAGTTAGAAGATCTGGCCGGGCGCTGACAGTTCACACCTGTAATCCTAACTACTCAGGAGGCAGAGATTGGGAGGATCATGGTTCAAAGCCAGCCCGGGCAAATAGTTCGTGAGACCCTAACTCAAAAAAATCTTCACAAAAAAGGGCTGACAGACTGGCTCAGGCAGTAAGAACTCCTGCCTAGCAAGTGCAAGGCTCTGAGTTCAAACCCCAGTGCCATTAAAAAAAAAAAAAGAAAAAAAAATTAGATCTGCAAAACAGCATGCTTTCTGTGTTGCAATAGTGGCTTGAGCTGAATA